AATGATTTATATAAGCTAAAATAGATTATTTAATAAAAAAAAATATTATTAAACTTTAATTATAATATATAAGACCTTTGCAATAGAAAGTAAAATAATTGCCAAAAAAATCAATTTTATTTTTATATGTCAAATATAATTAAAATATATTTAAATTTAATAACAACCCTTTTTTTTATTTTTTCCAGTCATTTCCTCTTTTTCTATTACAAAGATCCTATATATTTTAGTTATTTAATATTTAATTATTTAATAAAAGTTAGCAATAATTTAATTATTTAATCAAAATTTAGTTAAGTATAAAATATTTAATCTTATTATTTTTTTTAAAGTTTTGATTTATAAAAATTATTAGTAATTATATAAAATAATTTTTTAAAAAAATTATAAAATGGATAATTCTAATTAATTAAATTTATATTATATATTTTTAATTTATAATATTATAGTTATATAATTTATATAATTAATAAAATTATACTGGTTTTCAAAAGAAAATGTATAAAAGTATTTTTTTTTAAAAAAGAATACAGTACTTTAGAAAAAATACTTTAGTAATATTTATTATTTTGAAAATTTTTTACTAATATATTTCTAAACAAAATATCTTAAAAGAAAAGTTTCAGAAATGTTTTTCTTAAAGAAATGACTTTTAAAACATAATTTTCCTAAAGAGGATCGCTTTTAAAATATTTCTCTTACAAGAAAAAAGTTTTTTCTTTAAAAAATTGAAATTATTTTTTTACATAAAATCAATAAAATTATTAGCATTTATACATCTATTTAATGGAAGTGTAAGGAGAGGATCAGAAATAATATCATTTTAATTTCTAGAATTTTTTCCTCCCTCTCTTTCTTGTCATCAATTCTATTTAAGAAAATTAATTATCGCATGATAAAAATATAAATAAAAAAATATAATATAAAATAAACTTAAATAAAACTATATAATATATCAGTTTAATTTAAAAATGCTAAATATTGAATTTTTTATTTATATTTAATTATTATATTATATATACATTAAAATTAAATTTGAAGATAATTCTGATTTTAAGGATTATTTATTCTATTTTTACCTCTTTGTTGTTTATGTATTTGCATTATTGTGATTTTATTATTCCTATAGTTAACAGATTAATCCACACATCTGGACCTTTCTGTAAAATTCGCTAACTTATTTCTTATATTATGATTTTCAATTAAAGTCTTATTATTATCAATCTTTCACATTATTCCTCTTTCACTTGGATGCATATTCTTCTTGACATGCATCTTTATAAATGCTTTTGTTAGAAAATATTTTCCACATTTTTAATAAACAAATTTACAATATAATTCAGATGAAATACTTAGATAATGTTCATCATAGCCAGAAAGTCAGTTATTAAAAAATTCTAATGTATATATTAGATTAAGGAAGTGTTTATCTTATCCTTATATAATAGAAGGAAGAAAACTATTGTTTAGTGATAAAATTCAAAGGCATCGGTAACTTATGGTGATTCACAGTAGCTTCAGTTATCACAAATTCACAAATCAAAAGAATATTTGCAAATATATGAGTAACAATTAATCCAATCTTATGTTTCTTCTTCTATATTTGAAAATATAGTATCATCATATTTTTCGATATATGTTATAATAACTTGTTTCTTATTAATAATATTGCAATTTCAAAATTCACAAAGATGCTTTCTGACATATTTAAAGTTTTTATATCCAAATTCTTCATCAACTATCGAAATTTGTTCATTTATGCTACTAAGATGATTTCAATAATTTAAAGCATTCAATATAATACCTACTAGTTTACCAGATAATGATAACATACTTCTCTCTACTGGATTATATGCTGATTGCTTCAGTGCATGTGTTCACACTGTAAGATAGTCTAATTTAAGCTTTTTAAAAATAAGCATATATTTTAAAATATTAGCAAAAAATCAAGGGTTTTCATCAGGTTTACCATCTGTTAATAAATATCAGATAGGTTTTACTGAGTCTTCATAATGTGTAAATTCATGATAAGTCTCCTTCTCTATAATTGTCATAAGATTAATCATGTGTATTTCACATGATATTCGCAAAAAATATTCAAGGTGAATGAAAATTTGTAACTTTTTAGACCATAAAGAATCATTTGTGTTATTGAGATTAATTAATAAGTATATAAATGGTATTAGTTTATGCTTAGAGTCTACTGAAAAGTTGTGATCAGAAATCAATACAAATTTATTTGATGTCTGTATTGTTTTAATTATTTTTTCAACAACATTGATACTTAATGGAACTTAATAACAATTTTAAATATATAATTATAAAAGCTTTTATTATATTACACAAAACTAAGTTTTATTTGTAAAAATGATACATAATTTAATAATTAATTTAAATAAATAAAGTAATTTATCTAAAATTATTATATTCAATCATTAAATCACTGATTTTTAGTCAAATTCTACTTATATAAATAGTATAAATTACCTTAGCTTTATCGTTTTGTGAAATTAGAACAACATCTTGTGAAAAAGCAGATGCAAATAATTTTACACCTTTGACTGAAGCTAGGTAATAATGTTCATCGATATGGTCACGCATTTCATTTTTTCAATAGCCGCTAAACGTATTTGTGCAAGGTGATAGTGCTGATGTACTTCTATTGATGCTAGGTGCTGAGGTTATATATAATTTTATACCATAGATTTTAACATATATATATTGTAGTTGTCTTCTATTGCTTCTCAGAGATGCTTGATTATTCGAACCTTAATTACCTCCTTACGTCATTTGTGATCTGTCGCACTAAATTCAATGTAGCCATACATATTTTCCAAAAGATTAGGATCATTCATTAAATATAACAGATAACCTAGTATATTATAAACTTCTATAATATTCTCTTTTTCTAGCTTCTCCTTTTTCTTTTCTTGAGATCATTTTTGAGCAGCTTCATTACTTTTTAAATGTTTAAGCCTTTTTTTCTCAATAATTATAGTTTTTTCTAATATTTTGATTTTTGAAGAAAATTGTGAATGGACTTCCGATAATGTTGCTACTTGTAACAATTTGGTATACTCATACATTTCAGCTTTGGCTTTTTGAATGATATCACATGATTGATTTTGTATTGATGTATTAGGTGAAGATTGAATATTATTAGGAGGGTTAGGAAGAATATCTGGAAATGCTAGTGAAGGTTTAGTTGTAGATTTTTGTTGTGAAGAAGGTGAAACAAAAGTGAAGGGTAAAGGTTAAATAGGTAAGTTGAAAATAAGATTGGAAATATAATCCTTATTCTCTTTTTTAACTTTTCACCAACTACTTTATGCTTGAAGTTGAAGTTCCTTTTTATTTGGTGCAATATTATGGCTTTCTACCATTTTAGAGAATGCATAGGCATTCACATATTGCTCATAAGTATTTTGAGAGTTTGAAACAAGGTAATTCTTGGAATATTTTTGTTCGCGGAAATAAGTTTGTTTCATTGTTAACAATTTGCAACACCAAATAATTCTTTACATTTTAAGTGCAAAAGTAAAAAGTGGGAGAATTTTTTTAGAACATTTTTTTAAAAAAAATTGTGTTACCGCCATTGTAATACTGCCGCCAATGTAACACTTCGCCACTTCACGCAGTACGCGCGGTACGCGCAGTCGCGTAGTCGTAGCATGATTGGATAATGGATTTAGGATTCGTGTAACCGTCATCAACTGGCCCCATTAAATGAAGTCATTTCTGGCTAAATCATCTACTTTTTTAATTTCATTCCCTTCCCTAATCTATTACCTGATGAAAATCGAAAAGGAAGTAAAATCTTTGAATTCAATTCTGTAAATGCGCTTGATTTATTTTAGGAAGTAGGTTTCAAAAAGAATGGTGTTACTGCGTAAAAGTTAAAAGGTTCCATGTATAAACCTTAATCCTTAAACATAAATCATTTTCAATTTATCAACCGTCTAAACTGACCTTTACGGCTGAAACGACAAAATTGAGGTTTTATTAGAACCAATAAAACGCGAATTTAATTGCACTTCATTAAACGTTTGTAAACATTATTAGTCATAGTCTTTTTTTGCTTATTCGTCAAATAATATTTGTATTTGCGTTTCACAAAAGGGTAAAAGTTGTTCACATGGTCGTCTTCAAACAAACAAAATTTTCCTTCTTTTGATTGGGAATACAAAAGGATATAAAAGGAAAATACATATGATGTGATTGAAATACCATAAATAAGTTTCTCATCTATTGAAAATCTCGGATCTTAAAGTCCAGAGTTTTATATTTTCAATTTAATCTCATCTATTTTTTTTAAATTACTTTTCAATTCGAATTAATTAATTAAACCTGAATTTCATCTAAAAAGCGTTAAACTTTTAGCATATACACATTACCATTTTATTGGGCTTATAATAAAATCATGGTTACAAGAACACCATTTCTGTTTTAGTGTTGAAAATTTCGTCTGTCGATTTGAAGTTAAAATAAATTTTCCTCCTAAAAGTCGTACAGTTACAATTAATGTTTAACATGTTGCATTCGGGCATATTTATACCGAAGGTAAAATCCTAGAAATTTCGATTTTTGTTTGATCATACTATATCAGGGATAATGCCTAAACCTTTTTCCACGGCACTCTTTACGAAACTACAAAACTACATTTTCTTTTATGCATATTCCTAATAAATTTATAGTAACTAAAGCTTAGATTGAATATTGTATCTTTGCTGTTAGAATGAGGTCGGTGAAGTGAGATTCTAAAGAAAAGAGAATGACTATCGCGTAAACAGCTCGTCATTTTAAAACTTTTCTTTAACCAAATAAGTAGCATTTTACATTTCTCCAAACTTTTGAAATGTGAAACTTGGCAAGCAACCCGTTATTTGTCTAGTCTATCAATTTAAAGTTTTTGGATTAGGTCCTTCGATATATTGTTAACTTGCCGTATAAGTTGAACTGCGAATTATTTCGTTTTATCAACTGATTCGTTTTCTCATACCCTATAATTTGTCTGTAATGCTGTCAATTTCATTACCAAGTCCCGCATAGATGGTCTTCGCCTCTTCTCTATTGAACCTAAGGTCCAATTATTCTTTATGATTCTGCACTTTCTTTTTTCTTTAAAAAAAAAAATACTTACCATCTAGTATTTGAAGCGTTAAACTGAGCTGATTTTGATAACATCATGGTCTATTCCTGCAGATCATTGAAACACCTGGTGGTGGAATGTATGCAATTTATGTGCATCATCTCCCACGTTCTGTACTTATCAATGAATATAATACGTTTTTTTTTAAAAAAACATCTATTATGATCTCGGCATTTCTGCTCCAATCCATCCATCAGTAAAGTCATATCGATACATTATAACCAATTAGTCCTCACTGATGATTTTTAATTCATGATTCGTGAATCAACTGCAAAACATAATTTTTTTGTAGATGCACACATATACGCTTGACTTGGCGACATTTTTTACTAGTCAAACATGAATGACTCACGTTTCACGAATTAACATAAATTCTTATATATTATTTAATGACAATAAGTCAACAAAACATTTTTATTCTATTTTATTATACCCACAAAAAAAAAGAAATATTAAAAATATTTTACACTTCAATAATTTGAAAATGAATAATAGATCAATTTCGCTTTCACTTGGCTGCTTGAGCGTGGTACCAAATATTAACCAATGAAATCGCAATTTAAGGAGGACAAAAATTCCAACGTCCTTCCTTTTTAATTGCCTCAATTACTTTTGATTTTTAGACACGTCTTAAATTGTTAGCAAATGGAAATTTCTTTGCATATTATGAAATAACAATATCGGAATTAATTATAGTTTCCGTTCTTTTTTTATTTATAATTAGAAACTTGTGAAACTCATGCAATACGTTTTAGGAATTCATTAACTTGATGAAAAAATCTTTTGTAGCATCATATTGACCACATTTGACAGAAAGAAAAAAAAATAAAAGGCCAAACAACTTTCAAATTAAATTATGCCTCTGCCGTTAATTTATTGTGGCTATGATTAGTCATAGATTATATAATGAAAGCATGTAATTATCTCCTTACCAAATGATTTATTTATAATATAAATAATTTATTAGAAAAGAACCTAAATTGTAAAGTCAATTTATTTTAATATTTTTTTTTTTTTTTTAAAGATTTTTTTTTTTTTTTAGAAAAAAAAAATTTTAATGTATTTGCGGATTGGGCCATACATTTTATTACCTTTTTATTTTTAAAAAATATATCTATCACTATTAGATCAGTCAATGATCAAGTGATCATTGAGTTTTTAAACGGGATCATTGGATTATCTTATTTTGAGCCTAGTATTATTTATTTTAAATTAAATATTAAAAATTTTTGTTATTTCTTTTTAATATTTCTTTTTTTGTTTAATGATCCCTTTAGTGTAATCTAGTATAAAACTTAATATTAATACTTAATATTAAACCAAACTTGTTAATTCAATGAAGTTTTTAAAATTTAATATAAAAAAAAAAAATTTACTATAACTAAAAAAGAATCAGAATGCTTGGGAGAATGATAAATGATAATAACATTGATACATAATACACTATGATATTAATTTAACCTTAAATAAACCTATTGTCATAACCATAATATGAATCCAAGGGTTTACTTATTATTTGTATTTGTCCTCCTTACAAAACTTACAAAACCTGATTGTTCTCAACTTACTTTCTTTTTATTGTTTAAAAATAAGATCATTTATTGATTGGTTAAAAATATAGATTAGATTTAAATAACCTGAAATGCGTGGCTCGTTTGCTCTTACGACAAATTTATTTTGTCGATTTATGCTATTTATGGTGAAATAAATAGATCAGATGAGGTTTCTTGTTTTAATAATCTAACGTTTTATGTTCAAGTGAAAATCAAATTTTTTTTTTTTTCGATTTCGGGTGTAAAATTTGTATGACGCGAGTATCTACATCAAACGCGATGTTTCGAATAAATGAACTTTATTTCACTTGAAGATTTTATATGCTATGCTATTAATATTAATTGCATCACTTGCAGAACTGTTTTTTTTCTGTGTAAAAAGTGATGCCCGCGCGTGTAATGTAAATAATGTGATAAGGATATTCAATCATGACATCATGATCATTTAATTAGAAAGAATTGAAAGAACAATAGAAGGAAAGGAGGAAATAATGTGGTTATGCAAGTAAATATAAATGTATTCTTTGACAAACAAGGCAAGTTAGTTCGGAATGAAACAAGAATTTTTTTTTCCTTTCTATCCCAAATGTTCTAAAAAGATATATCGAGTAAACCGGGTACGGATTTGGAAATTTTTCCCTTCCTATCCAAAAGATGAATAGAGTAAACCGGGCACGGATTTGAAAATGACAATAAGTCATCTGAAAGATATTTTTTCGTTTTTTTTTTAAAAAAAAAAAGCAAAGATAAAAAACAAACAATAAACAACATTAAACATCCTACGCAAAGTTTAACGATAAATGATCATTTGTTGTACATTTTAATTTAAACCTACCAAATCACTTGTTTCTTTGAAAAGATCGAAGGTTGCTTTAAATAAATTCAAAACAAAAACCTTTAAAAGGAAAGGGAGAAAAAAATAAAGAGGAAAATAAGAGTATTTGACCAACCGGAATAATGTATTAGAAGATATATATAGAAAAAATCAGTCGATTTTCACGCGTATATATAAAAAATAGAAAAAATCCACCAATTTAAGATGGGGATAAAATAAGGCGATTAAAGAATTACGAGTCGATGAGTCGAGCCTGAATATCGATTTCTATTTTTTACCGTGCAATCGCTGATCATGTGAAATGACGTGTCGGATTAGCTAATCAATCGAGTATATTGGTTTTTTTTTTATAGTGTCAAATATAATGTCAATCATCTTGGATAAACTGGTTAATACAAACCATTGTTTTTGCAGATTTATTTATATTACCGTCGTGTATGACACAGCTAAACAACTAAACAACAAATAAGATATAGTTCGGAATTGATTACGGGATGGTCTACCAGTTGTTTTGTTGCAATGTTATTTTCGGAGAAGTGCTGGTTTTAAATTAACTATTTAAAGGATATTTATAATTTATTGATTAGAACGTTAAGATATTTTTAGGATCAGTACGCGGGTAGTTGCGTGATGATAAAAAAGAATGTGTGATGGAAGAAAATGATTAACTGAGGAGATGAACTTTTATGTGGTAAAACCCGAATTGCATTTAAACTTAATATTCCGTTATATTTAGGGAAGCCATATATAAATCCTTCTCGTGAATAAAAGTTTACAAATATGATAAACATGATGGATGCTACACTATTATTTATAGAAAAAAGATTTATTTTTTCCTACGCTTCTTTATTTTTATTTTTATTTATTTATTTCTTTTTGGGATATGAATAGAAGTTGAAACTTAAACCATTACCCCTTTTGTGTAATTAGGTATGTGTTGTTAATTAGTTGTGTGTAATCTCTTTTTTTTGAGATGATCAACAAGCATAAATTTTTTTTTTCTTTTTTTTCTTTTAATTTATCCGCTCAGTGTGTACTGGCTCTCCTACCTGTCTGTCTTCATAAAGAAGAATGGATGGATGTCATCAGGAACGTTACGTACAAATTATCGTTTGAGGAACCTTTCTTGTCTTTGTTAGCCGTAAATTTTCTATCCTCTTTGTTCTTTTTTATCGTTCATTGTTTTTATCATCGTAAAATTATTTTAATTTGTTCAACTTTTCCTTGTTAAAAATCAAAGAATATCATCTGGAAATGACAAAATGTTGACGGACGAATTTGATTTGATCATTTGATGAAGAGTATAAGTATGCAGGGAATAATTAAAATTTATATATTTATCCCTAGTTGAATTAATAATATTAAGCAGAATATTAGTAATGATTTATGATTGTTTTGTTTGGGTAAATTAAGTATGAGTAATGGAAATTTGAAAACAGTAGGATATTAATAATATTTAAAAATGATTAATATGTAATAAACCGAAATAATTTGGTACGTCGTAATATTTGTACAGTACGCAATCAACAGTTTTAAAACAATAATATTGTTTTATTAAAAGGAAAAAAAAAAATTATATGGGAAGAGAAATTAAACAATGGATTAATTCTTTATTCGGTTCATCACGGAAGCATAAGGTGATATTCTCGTTGTTGAGAAATATCTTGGAAGGACTTTTTTTTTTGTGATACACATATGCTAAGGTCTTTTTTTTTTTCTTTTAAAAAAAAAGGAAAAAAAAAAAAACAATGCTGTCCGAGATTGGTGACAGTTAAACGCGAATTTATTATTATTTTTGTAACAAAGGATATTATGACGACGAGATGCGTTACTTACCCAACTCACGGACATATTGTTTATGAGATGAAAAATTGTTGAATTATTGTCTGTTGTTTACACTAGTTTATGGATAAAGGAGAAATGAGTTTGAGAGGGAATGTTTCATGTGTATAGTATTATTTTTTTTTTGCTGCGGGGTCATACATTATCACTATTAAATCAAATTAATTTTAAATCGCATATAGACATGTTATATGTATATATATGCGTATATAAATATCAAAATTTCGATCTAACCAATTATACATAAAAGATTTTCCTTTTCGCGTATCCTCCCAATTTGATGATTTTATTACTTTTTGATTCCATTTATTTTTTTTAAAAATAAAGGGATTCACATAATACGAGATTTGAATTTGTCATTTTCCTCTTTTAAAGGATTCATATAATAAGATTAATCTTTTATTAACTTTAATTATTTTCCGATTTGACCTATTTACGAATCATTTTATGAACATTATTATTTCCCTAACCCCTCTTTTTTTAAAAAAAATTTAATTAATTGAATTGTTTCGAAATTAGAAACAACTGATAAAACCATAAATATTAAAATTCTATATATAAATCTGATTTTTTTCTCGTCCTGTAAACTATCAAAAAAAAAAAAAAAAAATCTTGACATAATCGAAATAATCCCCAACTTTTTTAATGTGACAGTACTTGTCTATTTTATATTCATTGTGGGGTTGAACCAAACTATGTTTTAAACAAAATCAGGTGTAATAACTAGTTTACCGTTTGGAATAAAAAGAATCAGGTATTTTATCTTTATCTTTTTTTATTTATTTATTTATTTATTTTATTGAATAGTACATATAAGTGTACAGATACGTATATTTTTTTTTATTATTATTATTATTATTATTATTATTATTATTTTTTTTTTTTTTTTTTTACTTTTACTTTTTGAACACACTTTAAGTTATATAATAGATCAACAACAAACAACATGAACTTTTATCTTTTAGACTAAACTTTAAAGTAACACTTTAAAACTATATCTTATATAAATATAAACACCGGCACGTTTTTTTTTTTTTTTTTTTTTTTTGAAAATCAATTTTTTTTAAAAAAAAAATTTTTTTTTTTTTTTTTTTTTTGCTTTCATTTCCTATTTAATTTTTAGTTTCTGCTGATATATGATTAAATTAACATTACATTATACTATTATTATATTTTAACGAAAAAAAAAAAGAAAAAGAAACGAGACGTAAAACGAAAAAATTCCCATTCAAAAAAACGAATAAATAATTATTTACGAAAATTCTCCTTTTTCATGTTCATTCTTAAAATTTTTTGGCATATTATTATTATTCTTATATAATATTCCTTCATTTATGAATTTGAAATGACAAATAATCACGAAATTACTTTTTATTAATTTGGAATTTTTTTTCCAAACCAAAGATTAAATCCAATTCAAAACTCGACCTTTTGGTTTTACAAATTATTTACCACATTATTATATCATAAAAATTCTTGCATCCATGTCTATAAGTTATTCGACTTCATCCTCTTCCTCCTCTTCTTCCTCGTCCTCCTCTTCGCTGGTCGCATCGTCTTTGGCAGTTTCCACAACGACAAGTTCTTCTTTACTCAATTCTGCTTCCGAAGAATATCACAAGAGATATTTTCACAAAAAAATGGCCTGCGCCGCAGCTAATATTGCAGATTTCATAAAAAGATTATACAGGTACATTTATTAAATATTTTAAAATACGCGTCTCTTTTTCTCTCCCCTCCCTTTTATTTTCTTTTTAAAGGCAATCAATTATTAACTCTTCTTTGAAAGTAAAAATACATTGAAATACGTCTTGTATTACTATCATCGTTTGAATTCATTTTTTTTTTTTTTTTTTACTAAATATAACTTGTCCATCTCTCCTTTTTAGAATGTTGGAAGATAAATCCCACGCTCACATTGTTTCTTGGGGAGTGACAGGAGACACATTTGTTGTTCATGATCAAACGGAATTTTCAAAGAGTGTTTTACCGCAACATTTTAAACATAATAATATGGCTAGTTTTGTCAGACAATTAAACAAATATGATTTTCATAAAATAAAAAGTAATGATGATGATGCGAGACCATACAGCGAACAGGTAAAAAACAAAAAAAAAAAAAAAATTCTAAAATTTAATTCCAAGAAAAACAAAACATGTGAGGGGAAGAAATGTTTCCGAATATTCAATAATTATTAATGGTGTAACGAAAAGAACTTCAACGATCTCCAATAAATTCTAGTATATTTTGATGTGCATTATTCGTTGCTTTATTAGTACATTTGGTTATTACTCGCGTTTATAATTAGTTATAAACTTTAAATTTATTTATAATTTGCCACGCGATACTTGTATATAAACAATTCTCTTATTTTAGTAATATTTAATTTACAAAGCTAAATATTATTTTCTTTGTTTCCGTACCTTTTTTTTTTTTTTATAAGGCTTGGGAATTTCAACATCCGAAATTTCAGTTGAATCGAAAGGATCTACTTGAAGAGATAAAGAGGAAAATCCCAACTCCACGTAACAAAAGGCAAAATGGGACGTCTATAAGAAGTGAAGATAAACAGCCTCACTGTTTTCAATTCCAAGAGGAATGCGCTGGTGGATCAACTTCAAATGATACATCAACCTCAATAATACAACAACAACAACAACAAGGACAAGGACAAGCACAAGGACAACCACCGAAATCCATTAACAGTAATACAAATGTATCAGCGCATCATTCCAATAATCATTCGATTTCTCAGTCATCACCTTCACCACCATCTACACCATATGATCTACAATCTCAAGTAGAAAATTTGACGGAATTACATGCCAATTTATCTGGTCACGTTAGCAACCTATCAAGAAATTGTGGCACGATTCTTGAAGAAATCATAAGCTTTAAAAGAAATCTTGCTGAGCAAGATGCTTTATTTAGTAATTTATATCAGATTTTAACTCAACAACTTAATAATCATAATAATCATAATACTCATAATAATCATAATCATAATAATCATAATTCAGGTACCTTTTCTTTTCTTTTTTTTTTTATTTATTTTTTTTTTTTTTAAAAAAAAAAAAAAAGAGTAATCAATAACGTAACGTAATACCTTGTCTATTAAGTAGACCGAGCGTTACGACCAATCACAGATAATGGTCCGAATGACCATCCGCCTACTAGTAGGAGATATTCATCAATCTCATCGAATTCACCCGTCAATCCAACATCAACAAATGAATATCATGATTCAAGGGAGTTACATTCGTCCTTTATATCACAAGAAAACTTGATTTTAAATTCATTAATACGAGCAAATTCATCTACCTCAATGACCGCGACACCGACAATAACGGACGATACTTCAGATGAATCATTCAATGAAATGAGTGGACTTTCACATCAATTCACATCAATGGGAGCCTATTCTGCTGCTCAACAAATCAATTTTAATTTAAACCCATTCTCAACACCAAACCCTTCGCCTCCTCCTATACCTACCACCACAAATCATCGAATGTTTAGTGATAGAACTGTACCTACTTGGTCCATACAACCAAAAGTTTTGTTCGTTGATGAGGAATCATCTGTTTTGGAAAGTGGTAGACAATGGCTACAAACGTACGGTTGCCAATGTGATACGGCTTCTGATGGTTTGACCGTCATTAGCAAAATGCAATTACAGCCATATGATATAATTTTCATGGTGAGTGATCCTTTAATGATGTGCGTCAAATTAATTTATGCGAAACTGATAAAATTTTTATTTCGTCCTTCCACTTTTTTTGTTTTATCCAGAATGTTGTGATGCCAAATGGAATGAACGGATTAAGCCTAGCACAACAAATCCGACGGTTTAATCATACAACACCAATAATAGGGATGATTTCAAATGATCAATCAATTAGTTCAGCATCGGATTATTTGAATTATGGCATGAATGATCTATTACCGAAACCATTCACGAGGCCAGGAATTTATGCTAAAATAGACAAATATTGTAATCAAATGAAAGCCAACGATTTGTTGATATCTTCATCACAAAATGACGGTGGTGACTCTAGTCAAAGGTCATTCGTTAGTTTAAATGGTTCTACGGAAGATAATACACGTCAACAACAACAACAACAACGAAGCGGGACCGTTACAACTTCTGTTAGCACCATAAACTTCTTATCCGCTTCTCCTATGGATTTATATCACCATCATCGGTTTAGTAATGGTGATATCGATGATTTAATAAGTAAAGAAAATAGAAGAAAGAGAGCAAAATTTTCGTAATCCTTTAAAATATACATTAGAAATTTTTTTTTCTTTAAAAAAAAATTTTTTGAAAAATTCATTTACATATTTTATGTATATGCATTTATGAATTATATGACAATTTCGCCTTTTTACCATTCACTTATTATTATTTTTTTTTCTCTTTATCTTGCTAAGAATAATATAGCAAAAACAAAAATGATATACTTTTTTATATATATATAATCCACATTTACATTATATCATTTTATCGAGGAATTAATAATCATTTTGGATTTCTTTCTTATAGGCACGGTAAAGGTCTTCTAATCGAGTGTTTCCAACAAAAAGACTTGATACACGAATTGGTGACCACAAACATAAATATAAACGAAAACGCAACTAATCACTAGCGACTCAACGTTCAAAACACAAACCATTTTCCCCTTTTTAACTTTTGCTTGCTTTGGCATTTTTTTTTTTTTGTTTTCTTATTTCTGGCAAAAAGAAATCCTTTCGGATTTTCTTAAGTTCTTTTTCTTTGTAAAATAATTTTTTTTTTTTTTTTTTATATTGGTTTGTTTTTCCTCACTTATTTGCATTTTTTTTTTTTTCATTTCTCAATTTTTCTTTTATATTTGGTGTGGTTTCGATACTTATCTTAAAATTTAATAAAAAATAAAAAAAATTTTTAATATAAAAGAAATCACTATAACAAAAATAATAAATTAGTCTCATTTCATTTCATTTTTTTTTTTTTTGCTACAGAAAAAGGTAACGAGGTGAGGTTTTTATTAATATATATTTGAAGGAAACGGAAAAGAATTGATTGTTCAATAATACAGTATATTCATTCGCGTAAAAAGAAAAAAAAAATGTACATTTACTTTTATTTTTTTACGTTTAGTCACTGTTACACCAATTTAATTAAAAAAAAAATATCAAATTTACGTTTAAATTGAAAATTTAAAATAAATAAAAAAAATTCGATTTTTCTGCTTATAAACTTTTAATACAAGGATGATAAACGGAAAGCCCCTTACTTATCACGGGTTAACAGCCATTTACCAGATAAGTATCGATATTGAAAAACGCTAAAAAAAAAGAAAGAAAGAAAGAAAGAAAGAAGGAAAAGGAATAATAAGATAACGCGAATGATCATTTACTCATCAGGCTGAAAAAGGAACATAGCCTTTTGATTATCAACTAGCATCGATCAATGGCTTCTTGAATTGCTTTGGATTTAAATTCTGCTTCCTGTAATTTAGCTGCAGCAGTAAGGTAGGTCTAGTTGAGATATTATCTTGTAAAGAAACAGAATTAATACCTGATCTAAATGCACCATATATTTTCTCTCTAGATGCACACTCTCGTTCAGTCCCAAGCATACAGAAATCATATAGGAATCTTTCTCTTTAAAATGCACACCCTCTTTAAAGCACATTTTATAAAATTTTCACTATGGTCCCAAGGGGTGCATTTAGAGAGAGTTGAATGTATATCGAAATTTACTATAGTAACATTTCCGTTAAATCAATCTTGAATTGATCAACACCTTTCTTTTGCAATGGCACAACTTTCCTTCTAAATGATTGCATGAGATGCCCTCCTCTATTAATAATTATAATAGTAAGGTAAAAAAAATAGTCCGTATCCCGGATTGTAACACACTTTTATGGGTTACGTCATATAGCATAAAAAAAATAACGCGACTTCATTTAAGATATCATCATAACTGTTGAGCGAATAATTGCATTTTGTCCCTCATTTTTTTTTTTTTTTTGTTTCATTAAAAGTGATTAACCGCAAGCAAAGATAACCAAAACTCTAACAAATAAATAATTAAAAGGAAAAATGAAAGGGAAAAAAGGAGGTTTATCGTTTGAGGTTTTTGTATAACGTGAATTTATCTACACTTAACGCCCTAAGTTTGCAAGATATTCTTGATAATAGTGGGGTGAAAAATGGATTGTTTATTGATTTTGTACCAATTTCTATCTCCGAAGACTTTATCAATATATGTATATATATATCCGTTTATTGATAATCAATTTCGTCCATGTGATCCACCAAAGTTTGTTTGTGCATCATAGACTTGACAAGCCGCCTCAGCCGCAGAAAAGGAATGTTTGTTTGCATGTGAAATTTTGAAAAAAAAAAATGAAGAACTGAAAAAACCGTATAAAACGTATTATTTTTTTACCCATTTTATTTATCACGAATTTGTAAACAATAATTAAAATAAAAAATGGGGAGATTTCGAGATTACAATGAACGACTTTTCGGGTGTGACGAACCTTTTCAAATGATCCTTCCGAACTTGGCAAATGACAAAATTATACTAAGAGAAAAATGGGAATATAATAAAGTAAGAAGAAAAAAATTAATTTAAACCAATGAAGGATGAATTTCAAACACAATAAAAAAAAAAAAGAAAACCATTCGACCTTTTAACGGGATTTCCCATTTTTTCATTAATTTCATTAATTTTAAATATGGCACATTATTTTTTACAAAATGGAAAAAAAAAAGTCACAATCAGAATAAAAAGATCAGTTAACGAAGGTAAACATTACATCATTTAACATGTCAAACTAACCATCTTGGAAAACGGTTGACTAACAGGTCAACGTTATCAATTCAATCTATTTTTTTCGAGAAAAACAAAATCACTTTTTAATTCTGGTTGGCTAGTTTTGACTTTATGCAATCATATGTTCACGAGTTCACATTCAACAAATACTTAAAATGTTGTACTAATGCGGTTGCAAACCAGTTATAAACTTGTATTTATAAATAGTCTGATGTAAGGATTGTGGGTCAAATTAATTCGATCTTTATCGCCCTTTCCCTTATTTAGCATTGTGTAAAGAGATATTGTCGATTTTTACCCAAATTTTTATTTTTTTTTTTTTAAATATAATATTTTGATGTGGGGACGGGATTAAAAAAAAAAAAAATAAACATGCGGAAATTTAATTGATATAGTAATTAATATATGCCGATCTGTAGTTAAAGGTGGTCAAAGATTTAGGACCGTGAGAATATGATGTTTGTCCTTTAAATATTGATTGTGTAAATTCTCATTTAAAATCTGTTGTGGAAAGAAAAAAAAAGATGAAAAAAAAAAAATTGGATGTTAAGCCATGTTTCAAAGGATATAGATTATTCTTTGTGTAACAAATGATTAAGTGATTAAGCGAGATATGGATATCTTACGAGAACCAGTTCACATAAAACCTAATTCTAGATTTTTTTTTTCTCCATTTTGTATCTACTATTAGGAATTATTGACTAATTTTGTCGATAAAAAAAAAAAATTCTTTTGATTTTATTACACTTACGCCCAATGATACCATTAGATGATTCGATGGAAAGGGAATCCATTTTAGGTCAAGAGCCATACCATGTGACAACAAAGGTCAAACCTTTCGAATTCGCGCACACAATTTTATGAAGACAATATTACACATATTTATCTTTTTATTGTATCGTAAAGATGTATAGTAACTTGATGACATTCTACATAAGTAATCCAGCCCAAATTTACTCTTTCCAAGGGCTTAGCAAATCGATAATAATCTTCATTAAAAAAAAAAAACGAAATAATCGTTATTTTCCTTTCTTCTTTGGAATTTTCTTATCTGTGTCGTTTGTGTTTCGTAAAGCCAAAAAAAAAAAAGAATAAAGGCTTTGTGCACTGAGTTCCCTTGAAATTTGTTCATATTTGGTTACTCTCAAAAATTTTGAAATTAGTGATGGCACAATGACGATAATCCGTGATACAACAAACCTTATTACTCTTTATAAATCTGTTTATTTTATAAAAACCCCTCAAAAATAATTATAAAATCTCAATTCTTTCAAGAGGGAATTACTAGTACCAGCTTTTTTTTTTTTTTTTTTCCTCACACCATCCAAAAGAAAAGGATTCTCCCAAAAAAATTTTTTTATATACTAGGTTAGATACTTTTAATTTTATATTTCTTACGTGACGTGACATCTTGTAATATAAATAAACCTTTTTTTGTCGTTTTTTTTTTTCGATTTTAGTCAAAAAGATTTCCCCCTTTTTTTTTAAAAAAAAAAATCTTTCATGGATAAATACGCAGCAAAAGGTCGTGTTTCTTCTGGTAGTGAAATGAAGGCTTCGTCAACTCCGGATAAAACCGAAAAACATTTACCCCGTACAGATACTGCGCCAATGAAAATGGTCAAACCTAACAAAACTCGGGTTGAGAAACCCTTGACTCCTCCAGAAGAGAGACGTTCCGTAAGTTTTGACCTTTCCACTTTAACTTTGACCGATCCCAAGGGTAATATGGATGTGGATGCAATCGCTACTTCTCCCTGCGAGTCCATTGATATTCCTGCACGTGAGTTGTCTCAGGACATTATGGTCGCATTGGTGGAACGTGATACCGAAATGAGGGACCTATTTATTCGGAACCAAGATTTCTTTGATATGGTTAAACAAAGTACTTTTGAGGATGATGATGCATGGAACGAATTCCTTGAACTTTTATATTCAAAACGTGAGGACAACCCCGATTCGGAATGGATGAATTCGATTTCGGAATCTCTCTCTGCAAATCCATCCCTTCTTGTCACTTTTAAACAAATTATTGGGTTTTATGACGATGATGATACCATACAAGAATGTGAAGGTTCTTGTTCTCCCGAAATGTCTAGCACGATAAATGATGAAGCTATTATTGATATTACCCCGATACGTAGTTTTCCAAAGATAATGGAGAACTTTGAAATATCTTACCCGCAATTCTTCATTAATGCTAAAAATATCCTTGGTAAAGAGAGACAACGAAGGGGAAGCGTGTTGGGTGGTAATCATTTATTAGATAATGATAACCCAAACATTGAAAGTCATTCTCCGGAATCATCTTCGGAAACGCTTTACGAAGAATTTAAACGCATCCTACTTACTCCTCGAAGTGATATGGATGATAATGAATGGGAAACCGCCATTTATGAATGTTTAGATCCTTGGCCACAACTTATCATGCAATTAGAAGATATTA